GGCATCACACACAAATCCATTTTTGATCGATTGGAAATAACTGAAAAGTCGCTTTAATAGTTGTTTGTTATGGCAGAAGAGCAGTTCAGGGAAAAGCAGTTGTAGAGATGAAAACATACCTTGAAAGTCACCAGCAACGCTCACTGCTCGAGAAAGAACACAAATAAGTTGATTAGTAGCAGCTCCGGTGAGCTCTTTATATACCCTCACGGTGATCTTCGAGAACCTTCTGGAGCGCATTTGTTTGTTGTTTGTCGGCGCCCGCTGTCTCGCGAGGCCCCGCCCACTCGCGTGACTCACCGCCGGCGCGGTTACGAGGAGAGGCGGGGCGAGAAGGTTCTCGAAATTTCCCGAAGAATCCCTCCGAACGGTATATAAGCAGGTCCGAGAGCAGTGACTCCAGCGTTCTGAGGTTAATCTTCGAAGCAATCTACAATGGCGATCTGCATTCACCCGTGGGCTGGCGAGACGGCGATCCTCCCTCGTCTCCTCGACGACGTCTTCAGCGAGATCGACGACGTTTTCAACGAGCTCGCCCAGATTGAGCCACCAATCCACTCTGTTGCGCGAAGGAAGGGAAGGAAAGCTCTTGCAGGATATTTAGGCAAGGTATGTCAAAGGTTTTAATAGCCTTCCCGTGTGTGCTCTGTACCTACATTGCAAGTGAAACCCCATTTAGGTTACCGATGACGGGTCAAAGCTGGCGATTTCACTGGATGTGTCGAAATTCAAGCCAGATGAACTGAAGGTGAACATCGATGGCCGAACTCTAACGATTGAAGGGCAAGCAAGAAATCAGTGAAGGTTCAAATTACACCAGCAGGTAAGTCACACATTTCCGAACTCCAGAGCTCCCCTCTCTCCATGAAATCGCTGAATCCTCTCTTTTGCAGGTCATTCCTTCCGTCGATGGACTCTTCCAGAAGATGTTGACGTCGAGCAGATCCGATCCACCCTATCTGAGAACGGTCAGCTGGCCATCGAGGTGCCCAAGCCGAAACCAGCCGTCACCGCCAGAACCATCCCAATCCAAAAGGCTGTCGATCAGCAGTAAATAGGGGCTAATTATTGTGTTGTCGGTACTGTTCGAGTTGTTTACTATTGTTTATCGCAAGACACATGTACATTACGATCTCGCCGATACCGTAATTCTGTATATTTGCATATATAATTATTTATATGTAATTAATAAACATTAGTAGCTAAATATGAATAATTATTGTGTCCCGTGCCGTATTCATTGCAAAGAAATGGTGCTAAATATACTAATACCAGTTTGGCTGCGCACGCATTCGCGTGCATGAGACGGGGCTCAGCGGTAAAATCGGGCCCATCAGTATTTTTGTCTTGATTTTAGCTTTCTGCTCGGTACATCTTACTTACGCCGCAAACTCCGCCCACATCCGGGTGTGCCACGCCCAGCGTTCACATTCAACCTCTACTCCTACTTTCACCTCTGGCGTATTTTTTTCAGGTCTCTAAGTCATCTCGGAGCCGAATTATGAGGTCTTGTAGGGGACGAAATCGAGCTACGTATCTTTGTGGCAAACCCCGCCCACTTTGGTGCGTGGGTCGCCCACTGATATCAGTCGGCTATCATCTCTTCCCCAACCTTTTTCTACTTTTCTCCCATCTCTGGAACTTATTGGAACCGAGTTATGAAGTACCGTGGCAAACCCCGCCCACTTTGGTGCATGCTCCGCCCGCCAACAACGGTTGACCCCTTTCCCTCTGCCAACCCTTATACGCTTTTTTCCCGGACTCCGGGACTCCTAGGAACCGAGTTATAAGCCTAATTGCAAACTCCGCCCACTTTGATGTAAGCCACGCCCATCCCTGACATTTAGCTTCCCCTCCCCTCCTGACCTCTATCCGTTGTTTTCCGGTCTCTAAGTCATCTCGGAGCCGATTTATGAGCTCTTGTAGAAAATGCTGTCCGCTTCACGACACGCTCCGCCCATTGTGGGCGGGCCTCCGTTCACATCATGCGTGGTGGAAATACCTTAGGCATTGCTCCCCTGCACTAATTTCGTTTCTGGTCTGTAGGCTTCCTCTTAACCGAGTTATGAATATTTTCACTGAGCACCCATTTTCTAGAGAACGCCCCGCCCACCGAGGGTGGGTCTCCTCAGTTCAATCTGGCTTACCAACCCACACCTATGCCCACTTTTGTCCCGGTCTCGAGGCTGTTTTGTGACTGAATTTGAAATCATGGTCCTCAGTACCACTCATTTCGACGCACGCCACGCCCACTGTGGGCGGGGCTCCGCTTAGGTAATGTATGTTTTTTACTTCTCGAGATATGGTACACCCATCCCAAACATGACCTGGACCCAGTAGGTTGTTGTCCGCTTAATACGGAATTTCGTGACAGACAGACAGACAGACAGACTTAGCGCATTATATATAGTAGGGAATAGATAGGGCATACGAAGCGTTGACCTAGTAGATTCCGGCTTCGACCGTCTTGTCAGTTCGACGATGGTGATGAGAATGGTGATGCAGCAACGATCCTCGTGAAGAGCGAAGAAGGAGGCGCTCAATGGCTGGAGAGATGGCTAGGTCCGACACGGGCCCACTAATTAGCCCGGATATGCTGCTTGCGCCGCTCCTTGCTTCTTGTGCTCTGAAAGGCTAAAAGGCACCCAAACGCCAAACAGCACATCCGTTATAAAGGAAAGCGCATGGCATCACTTCGACTAGAGTGCTATCTGACGACAGTGTCGTTAGCGAACCCCATTCGTGGCGCAGAGTTCCTTCCAAAAAAAATGGAAGTGTGAACTGGCAAGTATTGAACTTCACCAATGCGGCGATTCAGAGATCGTATTCAGGGTCGTACGAAGCTCAGGCCAGCAAAGCCTTCCAACTCTCCCTGCGGGGTCGGCTAATTTGTACCTGACTTACTGGACAGAACGACAGCACTGACTTTCACATCCATTGGCCCCGTGAGCCACTTTATAGAGCAGTTGTTATCAAATGTTACCGTGATTACGGATGGAAGTAGAATGCGTGGCGCATCCCAGAATGGGGTTGACCAAGGTCGATTGCTGTAATGCTGACCAGTGGGAGCCTCTTCATCTTCACTTGTCCCCCCTTCCTTTTCAATATAGTGATGATCTCCTCCACTGGGCTCTCATATTAGGTAGATGGAAGAGACAATAAGACACTTGAGCGAATTGGGAATGCATAGACGTGTATTTTCAATGCAACACTAATGCCCCACACCCACAAAACGATCCCACTTCTGCTATTGTTGCAGCTCCAATGGAATGCCATCGCTCTCGTTGCACCCCCTTCTGTCTCTCTTTCGCAAGACATTTGTGGGCAATGGAACATCCTAGCCGGCTTTGCTTGTCTTGTTTTACGTTTGTCGCACAAATGATCTGCGCCATGCACTTCTGTTTCCTGAATAATTATAGAAATGACTGTAACTCATTGAAAACGACACCACAAGCCAAATGCAAAATTATCCCCTGGTTCATTCACAAAGTAGCGTACCGCACCTGCCATCTAAAAAACAAGCTACCAGCCGCGCTTGGATGATTGGGAGCACAAAAACACTGGTTCGTATCTGGTTATAGCAAACGTCTCGAGACTCGGATGCATGCTTTCAATTCGGCGTTATTGCAATATAGCGGGGCATCCTCTCGGAATGAGCCTAGGAGGGGACAGGAATTCCGGGAAAAAAAATGGCTCACGTATCCTGGAGTCTCACTTCCCCAGCCTTAGGCATAGTCCCGTTTCCAACAGAGAACATGTTTTACACGGTTTCGAAATGTCGCCATCACAATGCCCCCTTCTCTTTCGATAGCTCCTTGAATTCTTTTCCAATTTTATTCAAACTGTCACTCATTAAAGAAACATAATCCCGTAATTATCTACGACTTCGTCCTACGAGCGGACAAGTCGGCTATTCCCTTCTCCCAGGAGGAGACTGAGTCAAGGAACTTAGCCTCAACATTTTCTAAGTCACCAAGAGTAGTGAACTTCGCCTTAGTCAGGAACTCCTTGGTGTGCCAAAAAAGTGAATAGTCGAGGGGCGAGAGCGGAGAATAGGAAGGATAGGAAAGTGTGTTTCAGCCAAGTTCCTCCAACCTGAATCGCGTGGTCTTTGGGACGTGAGGCCGAGCGCAGAAGGTAGACGGAAACCCTTCTTGGTCACTTTTCTTTCATTGCTTATGCGAGTTCCTGGTGATGGTAGGCCTCACTGTCTGACCTTGTGAGAGCAACTCGTATGATAGCATTTCCTTCAAGTCCCAGACACGGCACAGCAAAACCTTCCACGGGTGCTGTTCTGGCTTGGGCTGCACGGGTGGATCACCTCCTTTTGGGAGTCAGGCAACGATCCATGTAAACTTGGGTCTCAAAACTTTCGCAACAACCTAATAGTACTTCTGCTGCACTCACAGGTTACTTACGGCCATATCAAGCAAGTGCCACTACTATTCTGAATAGAATCACTCATGATGCATGGAGCACTCTAATAAGGAGATGCTCACCGCCGAAAGAGCTTTATCCATCTTTCTCT